CGCAGCAGTACCAATGCCCGGGTCGGGCGGGAAACACCGGTAACAGTCACCCTCCTCACTAATAGTCACAGCATACATGGCAGCAAGGATAGCATCAAAGTCAAGATCAAAGATAGCTACGCCAGCCCTAGACAGCTCTCCCCAACGGGGAATCTCACTGGCCTCGGGGAACTGCTGACGCCAAGCGTCTGTCAGGCGGCCAAAGCAGCGCTGGGTGGGGTGGGCACCCCCACACTGCTCACCCGCGCGGTCGCCGGAACGAAGGACGTAGGTGCACGGACCAAAACCCCCACCCCGCTGACGCTGCGTGTACCACTCACGGAGCTGCTGGGGCGGGGGGATGTGCCGCGAACGCTGCTGCTGCTGCTGCTGACGCTGGCCACCACCAGAGCCGCTACGCTGCGGGGCACCACCCCGGCCAGCTCCACCCCCTCCGCCACCGCCGCCTCCACCTCCACCACCACCGCTGCCTCCGCTCCCACCGCTGCCGCCACCACCGCCTCCTCCTCCGCTGCTGCCACCGCCACCACCGCCCCCGCCACCACTCCCACCGCCACCCCCACTCCCTCCGCCGCCTCCACCGCCACCTCCACCGCCCCCGCCAGTTCCACCCGCGCCCTTGCCCCCCTTGCCCCTGCCAGGGCGGCGTCTCCCGCTAGGGGCAGACGCCGCGCAGACCGACTCAAGACCAAGCAGGTCGGCAGCAGCAGCAGAGGCAACAGAGGGCAGCAGGGGGGAAGGAGAACACCCCTCAAAGATGGGGGTGCGAGGGTCACCACGAGAGGCTCCTACAGCGACGATGCTCTTCTCCGTCGCAAGGAGGGACTTCTCGAGGAGGTCGACAGTGAGAGTGGTGGGACAGACTGAGAGGAAGTGGTCCCTGACTACGCGAAGGGAGTCAGGGAGCCGGGTGACTATGTAGTAGAGGGTGATGTACATGGGGGGGGGGTTCTTGGCGCAGAACTCAGCAGGAAGGGCGGCGCGGTAGCGAGTGTCACTAGTGCGGAGGTGCGTAATGAGGTCAGCGACAGTGGGAAAGGCAGCAAGGTCAGGAAAGAGGTACGGTAGCATGAGGCGACTCAGAGCAGCAGTGGCAGGGGAAGAGTAGCGCGCAACTACAGCGTCGTACAAGGTCTGAGCACTCTTGTACTGACTAAAGTGCGCGCGCTCAGTGGTAGGTAGGTGGCGACGCACAGCAAGACGTGCAGCAGCATCGCGGGTGGCCCACTGAGAGCGAACAGTGGGGTCAGCATCAGCAGCAGGGGCAGGAGAGGCGCCAGAGGTGAGGTCAAAGAGGGAAAGACCGTCCGCCCTATCGCACTGTAAGAACAGCTGCAGGTCGTCGACCCAGACCTCAAAGTCAATGGCTCGACCCTCAGCGTCAAAAGCGAGGACACTAGGGGTAGCCATGACGACGACAGTGTAGTAGTGCAAGCAGTAGGGGAAGGGCACGCAGTAACAGTGGTGCTGTGCTCACCAGGCAGGGTAGGTCGGGCGGCTCGGCAGTAGGGCGGCCCGGCGACTGGGCGGCTCGGCGGCTCGGCTGCTGGGCGGCTCGGCTCCCGGGCGGCTCGGCGGCAGGGCGGCTCGGCGGCAGGGCAGCTCGGCGGCAGGGCGGCTCGGCGGCAGGGCGGCTCGGCGGCTCGGCTCCCGGGCGGCTCGGCGGCAGGGCGGCTCGGCGGCAGGGCGGCTCGGCTCCCGGGCGGCTCGGCTGCAGGGCGGCTCGACGGCTGGGCGGCTCGGCTGCTCTGCTGCTGGGCGGCTCGGCTGCGCTGCAGAGGAGTGGCGGGGCCGCTGCAGAGAAGGGCGGCGGGGCCGCTTGATAGGGCGGCGGGGCCGCTGATGGGGCGGCGGGGCCGCGAGGAAGGGCGGCGGGGCCGCGCGATGGGGCGGCGGGGCCGCGAGGAAGGGCGGCGGGGCCGCTAGATAGGGCGGCGGGGCCGCGCGATGGGGCGGCGGGGCCGCGAGGAAGGGCGGCGGGGCCGCTAGGTAGGGCGGCGGGGCCTCGCGATGGGGCGGCGAGGCCGCGAGGTAGGGCGGCGGGGCCGCGCAATGGGGCGGCGAGGCCGCGAGTAAGGGTGGCGGGGCCGCTAGGTAGGGCGGCGGGGCCGCGCAATAGGGCGGCGAGGCCGCGAGGTAGGGCGGCGGGGCCGCTAGGTAGGGCGGCGGGGCCGCTAGGAGAGAGGCGGCGGGGCCGCGAAGACGGGCGGCGGGGCCGCTGAGACGAGTGGCGGGGCCGCAGTGAAGGGCCGCTAGGGCGGCTCGATGAAGTGAGGGCCCGTAGCGCGACTCGGGCTGAGCGCGCTTCGGGCAGGAAAAAAAAAAAAATCGATGTGGTGGGCCCTAAGCACAGTTCCCAAGGGGGAACCTGCTCGATACCATGAGAAGATTTGAACAAGAATGAATGAACTATGAATGAAGTGAGTACATATAGGAAACCCTAATTGGGTTCTACCCCCTATGGGATACCCCACTATAGCCTACACAACAGCATAAGCTATATATATGTTCTGACAAAATCATGCAGGAAATTACATTACTTTTCTCAAAGGGTTTCCAGAGCAATTATTATTCTTCTGTTATACTAATAGACTGGATGTATTATTCTTCTGTTTTACTAATAGAGTTGTGTTAAGGATACCTTCAAACAAAACGCATATCTCACAGTATATATCAACTTCTTGCCTTACACAATAAGCTATTACTACTTTGTTGGGGTAAGACAAGTATTGTAATTTACATACATAATCACAATAGTGTACATTCATCTCACGCCATTATGTAGAGTGAGTTGTAAGTTCATTATTTAGATTATGTATGAAATTGTTTTTATTTATCTCTTTCCTTTGTGCTTTTTTACATTGTTACAAATGAATCCTTCTAATCAACACGTACCTTCCACTACACTTATAGTGAAACAAGCGATGTATACAGTATCGAGCTTTCAAATATAGCTTGTTTACAGTTCACCCGACAGTTGAACGTATTAAATTTTATAGTATGACTCGGCGCTAAACTACTGGTTGGTACGTTCTCAATATTCAAACAGATGGTGACGCGGCGGTTGGAAGTACTCGCACGTGGCAGCGTGTTCATAATCGAGGCGTCCGAAACACTGAACATTAAATTTTGAACTTTCACCAATCGTATCGCGACACGCTTAATCTCGAGTGTCTGATACAGTGAACCGAAGCACACCGTCGAACCTGTTCGCGCTCGAACCTGGTCAAACCTGGATTCCACAATGTCAGGAACGCCGTGACCAATCGGTTAGCACTGCGTGGCAGTGATGTTTCACCTCGAACTGCAAACTGCCCACCGACAAAAACACAACCGGAAAAATGATTCAATAAAACCTAAATAGCGGTCGAATTGACGGGAGCGCAGAAAGCGCGGGACAAAAGGTGGAGCGGCGTCGCATTGGGGTATAACAAAATTCGCCCGCGATAAGAAAAATTACCGGTGCCCAACCCCGTGCCGCGGTAATTTTCTCCAAATAATGGCTTCACCGAAACGCATGATTGTGATTGGCCGAGGCCCGTCTTGGCTCGGCAGCTTTTGCAGGTCCGACATGGAGCCGCGGTACCTTCTCAAGTCATGGAGCGTCATGGTTGATTGACATCACACCAACAACACCAAGCTTCAACCCACTTCACCGAATATTACCGTAGCTGAACGCTACACATTCCGCCGAACGCGAATCCATCCTGAAACTCTCATCTGTGAATGGAAAGGAGCTGTGCAATGGACTTCCCTGGAGACGTCCCTATGGATAAAGCTCAGTAACTGGGACTCTGCTTGAAGCTCATTCTAGTCTAGAACTTCTCTGCTAGACGCCTCATGATTCATCCTGTTTCAACACTTTCAGAGCTTATCTTTGCTGTTACTGAGACCGAAGGCGATCCGTGAATCCGATTGGCCAGTGTTTTACTAGTTCATAATCACGTCTTCTTCTACTAAGAGAAAAAAACATGAATTTCAAACAGCTTTTGCTCCACTCGTCGGCAGTAGGCCTTTGCTGCTTGATATCTCTTCACCACTGGCATGCCACGTGTCTCGCAGCTGACACTCTTCAGATTGAAGCTTCTAGATTAGACGTTCCGAATATCAAAGTACTAGAGAGCGCAGCGATCGTCGCTTCACAAGTCGATGTTCCACTACCTGACGTTCCAGCTTCTGTCGTCGACGTAAACGCGGCATCGATCGTTCTCCCCGTGAATTTAACTCATCTCCTCGAATTCTCGGAGCAGTACAACCTTTCAAGCCATGGTACGCCGCGTCTACACACGTGTCTGTTCTGTGCGTGCGGTTTTTCCGCCTCGTCGAGTCGGAATACGGCCTCGTCATCCTGCAAATTCTGCCATACCTTGCGTGCAAATCCCGAGAAACTCGTAGTATGGTGTTTTCTCACCATCCCTTACAAGGGTTGCCAATAGTTGTGTTTTGTTCTTTCCTGGTATCCTCTCGTTGACGCTTTCTTAATTTGCGCGTTGACTCAACAAGCTCATTTTGGGCCGACTCAGTCGGCAGTCCGTCACATCCCTACCACACTCGTCCAGAACCGTTGCGTCCGTCTCCCCTCTCATCTGGGTGTGTCGCTATCTTATCGTTCCCTTCTCGCAGCAGCCGGCAACGAGTCTCAGATCGAAGACCAGCTGGCGTCGCGCTCACCGGCGGACAAGGAGTCGTCAGGCGCATCTCGGCCGACGTCTGGCTTAGTGGAAGAGGAAAATCCGGGAAAATCTGGGTCTGGACCCGCGAAGCGCGGCTTGGTAGACCAGGGGTCGCTGGTCGAATCCCGGCTGGCGTGCGGCGACGCAGTGGCAGCGGAAGTCGCGGAGGCGATACTGAGAGATGAGGTGGTGCGAAGACTCGACCAGCTGGGAAACGTGAGTTTACCACGTCACCTCAGCACTGAGTCATTAGCTTACCACGCCACCTCAGCACAAAGTCATTAGCTTGCCACGCCACCTTCAGCACTACCTCTCGTTCCCGTCTTCATGCTGCAGGTCAGCGACTCGGCGCATTACTTGCAGCGCACGTTTCTCAGCGACGCGTCGATGCGCGCCGCGGCGCTCGTCAGCGATTGGATGGAGGAGGCAGGCATGTATACGTGGATGGACGCCGTTGGCAACGTGCACGGCCGCGTCGACGGACCGCACCCCGACGCGCCCGTGCTGCTGCTCGGCTCGCATCTGGTAAGCGCAAGCCGCAAGCCGCATCTACCTGAAAGCCGCATCTGCTGGTGAGGCGTGGAGTTGGAAGCGTGTTGCGTGAAGCGTGGTATTAAAGACGCACCCCCACGCGCCTGTGTTGTTGCTCGGCTCGCATCTGGTAAGCCGTATCTGCCGGTAAGGTTCAACGTTAGACGCATGAGGGTGGGTGACACCGGCCTGTTCTCCACTCCACCTTCTCATTATCACCACCGCCCCTTGCTCAGACTCCCCTCCTCTCTTCGCCCCCTTCCCTTCTCTCCGCGCCCCGCCATGGGCTCGTCTCGTCGTCTCAGGACACTGTTGTGGACGCAGGTCGGTTCGACTGCGCGCTGAGTGTGGTCACGGCCGTCGCCGCAGTGAAGCTGTCCCTGGGCGATGGCGCTAAAGCACGTCCCTCCTCTCCTCCCCCTTGGCCCTCCCAGGACACGGTGGTGGACGCGGGTCGGTTCGACGGGGCGCTGGGCGTGGTAACGGCCGTTGCCGCAGTCAAGCTCTTCCTCGCAGCGTGTGGGGCGATGGCGCTAAAACACGTTCCTCCTCTCCTCCTCGTTCCCAGGACACGGTTGTTGACGCGGGTCGCTTCGACGGCGCGCTGGGCGTGGTCACAGCCATCGCAGCAGTCAAGCTCTTCCTCACAGCTTGCGGATCAGCGGCGCTGCCTCGCCCCGTGGAGATCATCGCCTTCAGCGACGAGGAGGGCATGCGGTTCCAGTCGACCTTCCTGGGCAGCAGAGCGGTCGCAGGGACGCTCTCGCCTACTATGCTGCAGATGAAGGACAGCCAGTGAGTGCGGTTGGGGCAGGTTGGGCGGGTTGGCGGAGGTCAGGGCAGGTGAGTGCAGCAGCTGTTGCTGCCTCGCCCCGTAGAGGTAATGGCATTCAGCGACGAGGAGAGCATGCGATTCCAGCTCACCTTTCTGGGAAGCAGGGCGATTGCAGGGGCGCTGCGGCCTGCCATGCTTGCGATGAAGGAAAGCCAGTGAGTGCGTGTATGTGTGTTGGTGTGGCATGGTGATGGGTAGGTGAGTGCAGATGGGGGCAGGTCGGGGCAGGTGAGTGCAGGTGGGGGCAAGTTGGGACAGGTGGTGAGTGCAGGTGGTGAAGGGAAATGGGGGCAGATGAGGGCTGGTGAGGGAAGATGCGGGCAGATGAGGGGTGATGGGACTGGGTGAGTCCTCATAGTCCCCCCAACCAATTCCTTACTCTTTGCGCTTTCTTCTCTATTGTGTTGTTCAGAGGTGTGACTTTACAAGAAGCCATTGCGTCACTTCCAGCAGCAGCTGTACCCACAACAAGAACCGCAGCAGCAGGAAAACGAGCAGCAGCAGAAGCAGAAGCAGCAGGTGGAAGGTCAAGAGGCCTCAGCAAGTCAGCAGACGGGCCAGCCGACGTGCGTACAGCTCGATACCTCCCTGAGAACGTATGGGGATACGTGGAAGCACACTTAGAACAAGGCCCCGTGCTGGAATCTCTAGGGGAACCGCTGGGGGTGGTGCTGGGGATAGCAGGGCAGACGCGGGCGGAGGTGACTATAGAGGGCGAGCAGGGGCACGCCGGGACTGTGCCTATTCGGCTGAGGAGGGACGCTGTGGCTGGCGCTGCTGCTGCTGTGGTGGCTGTAGAGTCTGTTTGCCTGGGGATATTGAGAGAGGAAGAGGAGGAGGGGGAGGGGGAGGAGGGGTTGGGAGGGAGAGGCTGGAGAGGTGGTAACAGCAGCAGCAGCAGCAGCAGCAGCAGCAGCAGCAGCAGAAGCAGCAGCAGCAGCAGCAGCAGCAGCAGCAGCAGCAGCAGCAGCAGCAGCAGCAGCAGCAGCAGCAGCAGCAGCAGCAGCAGCAGCAGAAGCAGCAGAAGCAGTGGGAGTGGGGCAGGGAGTCGGGCAGGGAGTGGGGCAGGGAGTGGGTTGGTGTGCACGGTGGGGAAGGTGGTGGCATGGCCGGGGGAGAGCAACGTGATAGCAGGCAGCGTGACGTTCACTCTGGACGTGCGGACGCGGAGCAACAGCGTGAGGCACGCTGCAGTAGAGGCGATTGAGAGGAAGATTCGGCGCATCTGCAGCAATCGAGGGCTGTCGTGCCGGTTCACAGTGAAGGTGAGTTTCTGTGAGCAACATTAGTGTTGGATGTGGGGTAGGGAGGGGCGTGTAGTGTGGCGTTCACTCCGGGCGTGCGGATGCGGAGCCGGTGTGCGGCACGCTGCTGTGGAGGTGATTGAGAGAGGGGTTGGGGGATTTGCGGCATGCGAGGGCTGTCGTGCTGGTTATATTTGAGACGTCTCAAAAGCCACGTGTAGAGAGGTTATATTTGAGACGTCTCAAAAGCCACGTGTAGAGAGGTTATATTTGAGACGTCTCAAAAGCCACGTGTAGAGAGGTTATATTTGAGACGTCTCAAAAGCCACGTGTAGAGAGGTTATATTCGAGACGTCTCAAAAGCCACGTGTAGAGAGGTTATATTTGAGACGTCTCAAAAGCCACGTGTAGAGAGGTTATATTTGAGACGTCTCAAAAGCCACGTGTAGAGAGGTTACATTTGAGACGTCTCAAAAGCCACGTGTAGAGAGGTTATATTCGAGACGTCTCAAAAGCCACGTGTAGAGAGGTTATATTCGAGACGTCTCAAAAGCCACGTGTAGAGAGGTTACATTTGAGACGTCTCAAAAGCCACGTGTAGAGAGGTTACATTGGAGACGTCTCAAAAGCCACGTGTAGAGAGGTTATATTTGAGACGTCTCAAAAGCCACGTGTAGAGAGGTTACATTGGAGACGTCTCAAAAGCCACGTGTAGAGAGGTTACATTGGAGACGTCTCAAAAGCCACGTGTAGAGAGGTTATATTTGAGACGTCTCAAAAGCCACGTGTAGAGAGGTTATATTTGAGACGTCTCAAAAGCCACGTGTAGAGAGGTTATATTTGAGACGTCTCAAAAGCCACGTGTAGAGAGGTTATATTTGAGACGTCTCAAAAGCCACGTGTAGAGAGGTTATATTCGAGACGTCTCAAAAGCCACGTGTAGAGAGGTTATATTTGAGACGTCTCAAAAGCCACGTGTAGAGAGGTTATATTTGAGACGTCTCAAAAGCCACGTGTAGAGAGGTTACATTTGAGACGTCTCAAAAGCCACGTGTAGAGAGGTTATATTCGAGACGTCTCAAAAGCCACGTGTAGAGAGGTTATATTCGAGACGTCTCAAAAGCCACGTGTAGAGAGGTTACATTTGAGACGTCTCAAAAGCCACGTGTAGAGAGGTTACATTGGAGACGTCTCAAAAGCCACGTGTAGAGAGGTTACATTTGAGACGTCTCAAAAGCCACGTGTAGAGAGGTTATATTTGAGACGTCTCAAAAGCCACGTGTAGAGAGGTTAGATTCGAGACGTCTCAAAAGCCACGTGTAGAGAGGTTATATTCGAGACGTCTCAAAAGCCACGTGTAGAGAGGTTATATTTGAGACGTCTCAAAAGCCACGTGTAGAGAGGTTACATTGGAGACGTCTCAAAAGCCACGTGTAGAGAGGTTACATTGGAGACGTCTCAAAAGCCACGTGTAGAGAGGTTATATTTGAGACGTCTCAAAAGCCACGTGTAGAGAGGTTATATTTGAGACGTCTCAAAAGCCACGTGTAGAGAGGTTATATTTGAGACGTCTCAAAAGCCACGTGTAGAGAGGTTATATTTGAGACGTCTCAAAAGCCACGTGTAGAGAGGTTATATTTGAGACGTCTCAAAAGCCACGTGTAGAGAGGTTATATTTGAGACGTCTCAAAAGCCACGTGTAGAGAGGTTACATTTGAGACGTCTCAAAAGCCACGTGTAGAGAGGTTATATTTGAGACGTCTCAAAAGCCACGTGTAGAGAGGTTATATTTGAGACGTCTCAAAAGCCACGTGTAGAGAGGTTATATTTGAGACGTCTCAAAAGCCACGTGTAGAGAGGTTATATTTGAGACGTCTCAAAAGCCTCGTGTAGAGAGGTTATATTTGAGACGTCTCAAAAGCCACGTGTAGAGAGGTTATATTTGAGACGTCTCAAAAGCCACGTGTAGAGAGGTTATATTTGAGACGTCTCAAAAGCCACGTGTAGAGAGGTTATATTCGAGACGTCTCAAAAGCCACGTGTAGAGAGGTTATATTCGAGACGTCTCAAAAGCCACGTGTAGAGAGGTTATATTTGAGACGTCTCAAAAGCCACGTGTAGAGAGGTTACATTTGAGACGTCTCAAAAGCCACGTGTAGAGAGGTTACATTTGAGACGTCTCAAAAGCCACGTGTAGAGAGGTTATATTTGAGACGTCTCAAAAGCCACGTGTAGAGAGGTTATATTTGAGACGTCTCAAAAGCCACGTGTAGAGAGGTTATATTTGAGACGTCTCAAAAGCCACGTGTAGAGAGGTTATATTTGAGACGTCTCAAAAGCCTCGTGTAGAGAGGTTATATTTGAGACGTCTCAAAAGCCACGTGTAGAGAGGTTATATTTGAGACGTCTCAAAAGCCACGTGTAGACAGGTTATATTTGAGACGTCTCAAAAGCCACGCGTAGAGAGGTTATATTTGAGACGTCTCAAAAGCCACGCGTAGAGAGGTTATTTTTGAGACGTCTCAAAAGCCACGCGTAGAGAGGTTATTTTTGAGACGTCTCAAAAGCCACGCGTAGAGAGGTTATTTTTGAGACGTCTCAAAAGCCACGTGTAGAGAGGTTATATTTGAGACGTCTCAAAAGCCACGTGTAGAGAGGTTATATTTGAGACGTCTCAAAAGCCACGCGTAGAGAGGTTATATTTGAGACGTCTCAAAAGCCACGCGTAGAGAGGTTATTTTTGAGACGTCTCAAAAGCCACGCGTAGAGAGGTTATTTTTGAGACGTCTCAAAAGCCACGTGTAGAGAGGTTATTTTTGGGACGTCTCAAAAGCCACGTGTAGAGAGGTTATTTTTGAGACGTCTCAAAAGCCACGTGTAGAGAGGTTATATTTGAGACGTCTCAAAAGCCACGTGTAGAGAGGTTATATTTGAGACGTCTCAAAAGCCACGCGTAGAGAGGTTATATTTGAGACGTCTCAAAAGCCACGCGTAGAGAGGTTATATTTGAGACGTCTCAAAAGCCACGCGTAGAGAGGTTATTTTTGAGACGTCTCAAAAGCCACGCGTAGAGAGGTTATTTTTGAGACGTCTCAAAAGCCACGTGTAGAGAGGTTATATTTGAGACGTCTCAAAAGCCACGTGTAGAGAGGTTATATTTGAGACGTCTCAAAAGCCACGTGTAGAGAGGTTATTTTTGAGACGTCTCAAAAGCCACGTGTAGAGAGGTTATATTTGAGACGTCTCAAAAGCCACGTGTAGAGAGGTTATATTTGAGACGTCTCAAAAGCCACGTGTAGAGAGGTTATATTTGAGACGTCTCAAAAGCCACGTGTAGAGAGGTTACATTTGAGACGTCTCAAAAGCCACGTGTAGAGAGGTTATATTTGAGACGTCTCAAAAGCCACGTGTAGAGAGGTTATATTTGAGACGTCTCAAAAGCCACGTGTAGAGAGGTTATATTTGAGACGTCTCAAAAGCCACGTGTAGAGAGGTTATATTTGAGACGTCTCAAAAGCCTCGTGTAGAGAGGTTATATTTGAGACGTCTCAAAAGCCACGTGTAGAGAGGTTATATTTGAGACGTCTCAAAAGCCACGTGTAGAGAGGTTATATTTGAGACGTCTCAAAAGCCACGTGTAGAGAGGTTATATTCGAGACGTCTCAAAAGCCACGTGTAGAGAGGTTATATTCGAGACGTCTCAAAAGCCACGTGTAGAGAGGTTATATTTGAGACGTCTCAAAAGCCACGTGTAGAGAGGTTACATTTGAGACGTCTCAAAAGCCACGTGTAGAGAGGTTACATTTGAGACGTCTCAAAAGCCACGTGTAGAGAGGTTATATTTGAGACGTCTCAAAAGCCACGTGTAGAGAGGTTATATTTGAGACGTCTCAAAAGCCACGTGTAGAGAGGTTATATTTGAGACGTCTCAAAAGCCACGTGTAGAGAGGTTATATTTGAGACGTCTCAAAAGCCTCGTGTAGAGAGGTTATATTTGAGACGTCTCAAAAGCCACGTGTAGAGAGGTTATATTTGAGACGTCTCAAAAGCCACGTGTAGACAGGTTATATTTGAGACGTCTCAAAAGCCACGCGTAGAGAGGTTATATTTGAGACGTCTCAAAAGCCACGCGTAGAGAGGTTATTTTTGAGACGTCTCAAAAGCCACGCGTAGAGAGGTTATTTTTGAGACGTCTCAAAAGCCACGCGTAGAGAGGTTATTTTTGAGACGTCTCAAAAGCCACGTGTAGAGAGGTTATATTTGAGACGTCTCAAAAGCCACGTGTAGAGAGGTTATATTTGAGACGTCTCAAAAGCCACGCGTAGAGAGGTTATATTTGAGACGTCTCAAAAGCCACGCGTAGAGAGGTTATTTTTGAGACGTCTCAAAAGCCACGCGTAGAGAGGTTATTTTTGAGACGTCTCAAAAGCCACGTGTAGAGAGGTTATTTTTGGGACGTCTCAAAAGCCACGTGTAGAGAGGTTATTTTTGAGACGTCTCAAAAGCCACGTGTAGAGAGGTTATATTTGAGACGTCTCAAAAGCCACGTGTAGAGAGGTTATATTTGAGACGTCTCAAAAGCCACGCGTAGAGAGGTTATATTTGAGACGTCTCAAAAGCCACGCGTAGAGAGGTTATATTTGAGACGTCTCAAAAGCCACGCGTAGAGAGGTTATTTTTGAGACGTCTCAAAAGCCACGCGTAGAGAGGTTATTTTTGAGACGTCTCAAAAGCCACGTGTAGAGAGGTTATATTTGAGACGTCTCAAAAGCCACGTGTAGAGAGGTTATATTTGAGACGTCTCAAAAGCCACGTGTAGAGAGGTTATTTTTGAGACGTCTCAAAAGCCACGTGTAGAGAGGTTATTTTTGAGACGTCTCAAAAGCCACGTGTAGAGAGGTTATATTTGAGACGTCTCAAAAGCCACGTGTAGAGAGGTTATATTTGAGACGTCTCAAAAGCC